GGGGGGGGGGGGGGCTTGGCGGACCTGTTGAGTTCGTTCTGGTGGGCCCTGAGTATCTGCGGCCAGACCTGCGCGTTGTCGAGCCTGACGCCGTCGACGCAGTACCGGTTGGCCCATGACTTGATGTCGGCCACCAGCAGGTCCCACGCGCTCACATTGCGGTAGTTGAGCGTCGCACTGTCCTCGTATGACACAGACCTGTCAGGCAGGAAACAACCCGCGACATAAGTCCGAGAGAGGGCCACTGGGTGGGTGGGAATTTGGTGTGCTATGTGTGTGTGTGGAGGGGTAGTGCGTGCCTTCCGTCTGAGCCGTAGAGCATGATTCGTTTGCCGCTCTGGTCGAGGGTGTGCAGCACCAGCGGCCAGTACTTGCGGTGCGGCCGGCTCGACGACACGCGAGCGACGGAATCGACCAACACCTGATATGATTCGAGCAACGCAACAAGTGCGTGTTGGCTCTGATGGGCGGGCCAAGGCGGAGGGAGGGCAGAGACGTACGTACCTTGATGCCGACTCGTTTGGCCTCTCTCATGAGGTCCTGGAAGCCCGTGGCGCCCCCGAGCATCTCGTTGGGCGAGGCGCGGCAGGTCACGGCGAACGGGGAGGCATCTGCAGATCAGGCACATCAAGACAGACAGATGGAGAGAGAGAGGGGGAGAGAGAGAACCATGTTCATTCACCGCTTCTGTGTGTGTCGTTCTCCCCATGTCACCTGGCCTCTCGAATGTCATTTCGCCGAAGTTTGTGTAGAGCGTTTCGCCGTTGTCCCGCGCCAATGCGCCCATCAGGTAGACGGTGGTGACCCCACACTCCCTGCCACACAGACACAGACACAGACACACAGACACACTTTTGCCTGTCCTTCTGTCTGTCTGTCTGTCTGTGTTCTGGTAAGGTACTTGAGCTGCTGGAAGGATGCAGCGACCGACGCGAAGGAGCCCCTCTTGGTGAGCTCCCCAGTGTCCTTGTCCCAGGCAGCGTCATGCTGGTCGATGAAGACCTCGTGAATCTGCACCACACACACACACACACACACAACATGGCTATCCCCTCCCTCCCACAAGCCCACCCCACACACGCACACAGAGAGAGACCACCTACCTGTTCGTCTCCAATGTTGTTGCTTTGAACGATGAACCTCCCCTGCAGGGGGAAGGTGCGGTGGGTGTCGAAGGAGCTGGGCGAGTGCTGGCCCAGGATGTCCAGAGCCGTCGCGTCAAAGTTGAGCGACGTCTGCGAGCCCATGCGCTTGATGTTGGACAGAGTCGTTTGGAGGGCCTGCCGAAGACACACATGGAGCGATGCATGCGATGGCGATGGATGTGTGTGTTTCCCTCTCTCCTCTCCGTGTCGGGCTGGGCTTACAATCCAGCTGCCCTGGTTGACATTGGCCTTGACGACCCGCCAGTCGTAGAAGCCGCACCTCACAAAAGTGCCGAACCTGACATGGCCCTTCCACTTGAACATGCCCCCGCCCTGCGCCGCCTCGAATCGGGGGTCATTGGCTGGCCGGTGGTGCTCCCTCCGGTGGTCCTTGCCGCCATCCCTCTTGCTGACCTTCGACACGGCCGTCCACTGCACTGGGTGGTACGAGTAGACCTCGTGCGGCGCCGTCTCGGCGAAAGACGGAGCCGAGAGGATGAGGAACACGCCCTTGGGGCCCTGTGTGTGTTCGGGTGGGTGGGTGCACACACACGACATGGTGTGTGTGGGGGGGGGGGGGGG